TGACCCATACAATGTATTGTTGGCTATTGCTACAAATATACCCGTGCGACTTATGACTGGTTTTGTGGTCCAGGATCACACATATAACAGGACACTACAGCACAGTGCATAATTTATTATGTGCGTCATAGTGAGATAGAGTTGTGATAATCGATACATGGCTGCATTGTCTGTAGTTATGTTTGCATGCGGAGTGTGATAAAAGCGTTTGGGGTTGACTCATGTGACACAAGTGTGCAACCAGTGAAACAAATACTATCCACTCAACAGCACATGGAGAAATGAGGCATAATTCAGAGCATTATCAACACAAGGTTAGAGTCTCAGTAGCTCAGCAGAAGCCCAGGATCATTATCATTATCTGATAAAGAGCAGAGAAGTTAATGACTGTCAGAGTGTGTGTGTATTTGTGAGTTTTATATGGAGATGATAGGATGTCTCTAATGAATACTGTCATTATGGGTATCGCCATGTGCCTTCAGAGCTGTGTGTGTTATTATTGTTACAAAATTTTACTGATTTCATCCAGCCAAAACACAAACACACACACAGCATGTATATCGAATGTGAAATAGAAACACCCTAAAACAGCTCCAGCATCATTTGGGTTCTTATCCTGTGAAGCATCTCATCTGGAGTTGTTAACTTTCACGTTTTGTGTTTGTGAACTTTTCCAATCTTTTTTTCAACTCTGCTACGTTTTTGATCGGCTTGATCATATTTCTGTGGCACTTGTTGCTGTTTGCAGGATTAAAAAAAAAAAAAAAAAACTCTCAAAATAATGTCATATAATTTTTTATAATAATTTACAATTAATTAAAAGTGGGGTAAGCGATTTCTGGTAGCCAATGTTGACATTTGAAATCACCAAAACAAACATGCCCCTACCCCAAAAGGGTCTCGCCCCTATTTTGATAGCTCCGCCCCACACATACGTACACAATACTATAGAACTCATTATAATCAGTGATGCTGTCTACACCATAGATGTATGGTGCATGACTTTTTTCTTTCAGACGAATACAATCAGAGTTATATATTACTCTCTCATACACGAGACTTGAGGGTGAGTAAATTATGGCGTAATTTTCATTTTTGGGTGAACTATCCCTTTAAGTAAAGTAATTAATTAAGAAGAATTTCAAACCTGACGCTGGTAGTTCTGTGCAGTACATAGTCTAACATTCTTTATTGATTTAATTCCCTTTTTGCATCAGATGGGATGCCAGCAGAAGCACTATGATTGCCCCTTCTTTAGTATTTCTGTTATTTTACTCAGAAAGTTGGCAGAAATTTAATTCCGTAATGAAGGTACACCAGGCAGTGCAGTGAAAAATTTAGTCTTAGTTATTAAGGTCAAAATATATACAGAGGAGCATTTTGAAAAAATAAAAAATATATATATACAATTTCAGACATTCATTAAACAACCTAGACGACATTAGATTTCTCAGAGGACCCTGGAGTTAGTTGAACAGCTAGGTGGGTAATTTGCTCCATAATTTTTTTGAGTTTGTGTGAGGGTAAAAAATGGATTAAAAACACAAATTTACCCGACCTCCTCAGGGAAAACAAGATTCGTCTGAATAGGTTTTATGTTGTTTAGTTTCTTAATGCATTTATTACACGGTTATTGCATTTACCTACATTAGAGCCTAAATTCCATACCTACATTCTGTTCTGTGTTGCACAACCACTGCAATCCCATAGCCAGACTCTTGTTTATCAGCAAATTATGGAGAAAGACCTTTTTAAAAGCAACCTAAAAAAAGGGATGTTTTAGCAGAAGTAAACTATTTGTGGTATTTATCTGTGTATACAATATATAGCTGTCTGCCAATCTTTATTCTGCAGAACACAAGACATTTTTAAGAATTTTTCAACTATTTTTGTCCAAACAAAAGTCATGGAGGTAACAAATATATACCAAAAAAAAAAAAAAAA